TGCATTAGTGCCTGGAAAGGAAACAGTATGATTGAGTGACTAAAGCTCACTTAAATCCCTGTAAGTTCTCAAAGGTTTTCGTTTGTAGCCCCTTTCACCCTCAACCATCGGGTCGATGAGTTCGCAACCTAGAAGTTTAGACATTAGAGAGTTTTAGATCCAAGTTTACCGCGAACCTGTAACCGCGGTTCGGTCTGCGGTTACCAGTTTGTGGTTCTTCGACGTTCAAACATAATTCGATTTAGATTGGGAGTGGATTAGATTACGGCCGCCATTTTCAATCAGCAGCCATGAATGGCGCTTGTTTTCAAGATCAAATAGCATTTATCAAATTTAGAATTTCGCCCGAATTTGTGCTTCCCTTAATGGATAAAGACTTGCTCCACAAGATTTTTGTATCAATCACTACGTGGGATAAAACAAGAATTAAACTCTAAAAGCTTTCAGGTAAATGACATACGTGAAAACCTACCTCCCTATGTTGAAAACACACGTCGTAAACCTCAATCGTGACGCGAAAGACTTGTCACGTGACCCCCAGCGGTTAGAGGTTCGAGGTAAACTCGGATCTAAAACTCTCTTTTGAGCCTTGGTACCCCACACCCATGCAATGATTTATGGGCATTATACTAGAGTCCTAGATAATGCTGGCTTGCCCTTGTTTCACTTTTTTACTGCAGTACAAAGGCATCATTTGCTTAGAAATGCATTAATTTGCCTCGCAAAATTCAACAGTTCACAAGTGGCTATCTTTGTCTTACCTAACATCAAGCGTGAGCCTATCAACCGCGAAGCGTTGGGCGGCTGATTTAGTGATCCACGCCGCTGCATCGCATTGTCAATTCTGCAAACTGCAAGTTTAAACTGTTTCCTACCGATGTCAAAAAAAAAAAAAAACATAAAAAGAGAAATAATTTCTTAGTCAGGCAAAGAAATATAAATGAAATAATTTAAGCTCAGAAAGTAAATAACATGCACGGCCCTAGTCTGAACAAACAGCCGTCATTTCGGGACCTCACCACCGGTTTCCCGCGAATTGACGTCTGACAAACGATTGCAGAAATTCCATACTGATGACAGATCTGGGTAGTGCCTCTGATTGGCTGAAGAAAAATTTCCCTCGTGGCTCGACCAATCAGAGTCACTCTCCAGATCTGGGTAGTGACACATTTCTGCAGTCGTTTCCCAGACGTCATTTTGCGCGGGGTAACCAGCGGTGGCGACGCGAAATGTCGGCTGTTTTTCTCAGGCTGACATGGCCCTGCGTTCACCCTTCTACACTTCTAGCGACTCATGCAAAATCAAAATACTTCTAGCGAAACGTTATCCTTACCCGTTGCAAACCACCCCTTGTTATACATGGCATCGATTTAAATCCACTTTTTATTGTAGATTGCTGTGAAACCTGTTGCTAGACTAGCACACTAGCATCAAAACCCATTTTCTCGTACCTTTCACTTATGCGTCAACCCCTGGAGGTACTCCCTATGATGACCTATACGGGGAGGCTCCGTCCGAAAGGGGTACTTTTTCAGTCTTCAGGTTTATGAAAGGGTAGGGGAATCTGAGAGCCTGGAACAGGCTACCATCAAGGGAGCAGCGTAGCAGTAGGGTCCCTATGTTAAGCGAACAGGGAAATGGGGAAAATTTGTAAATATTCGCAGTCTTCCTTCAATCATTTTCGTTCTCAATTTAATCTCTTTTCTTGCGCCTTAAAGCTTGACTGAACTATACACGAAAAGATGTAGATCAGAAGTGAATTCGCAGACTCTCTTCAATCATTTTCGTTCTCAATTTAATCTCCTTTCTTGCGCCTTAAAGCTGGACTGAACTATACACGAAAGGAGGTGGATCAGAAGAGAATTCTGAACAGCTTGTGTGGCGCATGCTGCCACGCCTGTCAATTATCCCTTTATCAATATCTATAACAACAATGCCCCGATTCTCAAGTTCACTGCACATGTACATCACCCTACAAAAAATGAAGAAAGAACAGATTAGTATTAGGAAATAGGTATATCTTAAAAATGACGTCAAACTAAAGACATTTCAATCATCTACTATGTAGCGATGAAACAACCTATCAAAACATTTCAAATACAAAAATATCTCTTTAAGGTAAAAGTGCCAATTTCTATCCTGGTGATCTGATCTGTGAATTGAAGCGTCTTCTTGTTAGACATTTCGTCCCTTAATGTAGAGCAGACGAGCCATTAGTTTGTCTATAACAACCCTTCTTTTAGTCTATTTTTGCACTTTTTTCGCTCATCGAGGAAATACTTCAATCAATTAATCAAAAAATAAAAAAAATTAAAGCATTTTACAAGGATCACGATTAAGAAATACTGAATGCTACTAAACTATTTAAGATTTGAGTTTCCTTACTTTGAAAACTCCAATCTAAGCCATTTTTGCGGTGAGGAGACTTGAATCTAAGCTTTTTGTGCATAAAACAGCTTAAATGCAAGATGATCCACCAAATGATCTTGAATTCTAAGTCTTTACCAATTGTAAATAGACTTAATAAACAAGATTTCACTTATAATATTCAAGCTTAAATCTGCAATTTTACAATTGGAGAATTAAATTAGAAAATCAAAAAAAATTGGAGGAGAAATCAAACTGACACTGCAGTTCAAAATCACTACTCCAGAATTTGAGAAGCGGAAACTTGTATTCAAAGCCTTTATTTCACAAGTATTCAATACAAATTTCCTAAAACTTGGTAGCTTCTCATTTCAGAGTCTCAAAAACCAGCTATCTAATTAATAAGGCTTAATTCCAAGATTCTGAAGTTTGAAATTCTAGCCCTGTATTTTAGAGACTGAAATCGATACTTTTACTAACATCGTAAGAGTACGAGTTCAATCTGCTTGAACTGAGAAATCATGTTTGTGCAAGATGGATTATCGGGAGCAACATGAAATCGCAGTTAACAGTATGGACATGAATAACCCATGATCTTTATCTTTATTATTTGTTCAAAATAGAAATCACATCACTTCAGGTGCCCGGAACATATTAAGTTATACTAAAAGCAGACAAACCGAGCAACTAGAAGTCCCTAAAATGTAACAGCCGAGAAGCTTATTTGGACATCAACTGTTATCTGACTGGTATCATAAACTGACAAAAAGGTGTTCCGTCCAAACCTCCATCTGCGACCATCTCTCGTAAGTGACCAACCACTTACATGTATCAAAACCACTGAAATTTTCCCTGTCAAAGCCCTGTAAATTACCTTAATTTTTTTTAACCCTGTAATTACCTCGGCGCGATGGGCAACCTTTGCCAAGTATGAACTTACAAATAGATATTAGAACCTCTTGTAAACGACCACGTTTCTTTAGCGACCGCAACAGTTTTTTGGTACCCTGGGTTCCAGAGGTGATTTTTTTCTTAGCCAATTACCGATAGTTCGCGTCTCGGGAACTTTATCAAACCGTGAGCACAGCTTTCTCATCGGCTGTGTATAAAAGTGGGACGGGGACAAGGGGACGGGGTCATCGGGACGCGTGTGTGGGGACTTGGGACGTGGGGACGCGAGACGAGGGACTTGAGGACATCAACTATGGGACGCGGGGACGTGTGGGACGGGGACGCGGGGACGTCAAATACAGGGACGAAGGGGAGGCGGGATGTGAATGATTATTGCAAAAGTCGCAGGTAAATGCGATATCAGTCACTTTCCTCGTGAATATGTTTTGTTGAAAGGAAACCCACCCTGCCCTCCTTAGGGTTCCTCCATGCCTGTTTACGAAGAGAAGACTCGGCGAAGACCCCCTGCATTGAAGAAAGTGAAACCGTTGTCCTAGTCTTCTTGCTGATGGAATATTGGAGCCAGTAGGGTAGGGTGGGTTGCGGTCGCCAAAAATTATGCATTCGATTCCAAATAAATAAAAATTAAGTGGCATTAGCGAGCTTCGAATCCCGAAGTTCTAACTCCGAAATCCATCGCCTGTACCACTAAACCACGAGGGATTCAACTATTGCAGCAATATTTATTTTGTTCTACATTTTTAGTGGCAAACCTAACAGTAAATGCTTGCTAACAGTACTTAAAGGTTGATTTCCACCGACGCGTTTTTCAGCGTTTTTGGCTATGCACGTTAACGCAAGTAAATTTTAATCACGTAAATAAGATAGGCAAGATATAAATTGTCGAGATTAAACGTGAAGTTGAGCGAGATTCTACTTTTACGCTTACGTGCGGCCTTTCAGACATTGCCTCTATTTTATGTGCGAACGTAAATTTTACGCACGTAGGCATGGAAAAATTACGCGACAGTGGAAATTAACCCTAAACCTGATCACGATAGTCAGTGGGCTTTTAATACTTCTATTATAAAGAAATATTTTGTGTAAACATCATAAGGTGTCCAATGTGGTTTTGGAAGATGGAATCTAATGTTGACCATAAATAACACATTTTCACGAAGAAAGAGATATCGCATTTACCTCCGACTTTTGCAATAATCATTAACATCCCGGGTTCCCTGCGTCCTAGTTTTTGACGTCCCCACGTCCCCGCGTCCCATACTTGACGTCCCCAAGTCCCTCGTCTCGCGTCTCCAAGTCCCAAGTCCCCACACACGCGTCCCGATGTCCCCGTCCCACTTTTATACACAGCCTTTCTCATCCGCGGTAATTCAAGAGCGGACCTCTGGAGACAGGGTAGCTTTTTGGGGCTGAGGGTTTTAAAATTTTCCATTGTTTTTAACCTCCTGTAAGCGAATCTCTTTGTTCGCTTCTCAGCGCATGCGAAGAAATGTGAGTGAGAACATGGAACTACAGTACACCTTTCGTAACGTTTGTTCCGAAAAGTAAAAAGGTACATTCTCTTCCAAAAAATAGGTGTGTCTGGACTTCTTTTACGAAGAGACCATCATGGTCACTTACGGGAGGTCGACTGTTTTTCTATAGCGTTGAACTAAAGTTGGAAAGGTGCCCATCTTTTCCAATAAATACTAAGTTCTTTCAACCTCCTGATAAGACTTACTTGTGGGTGTTATTTCTGAGTCATTGGTGCTCGGTGCCCCTGCTGGAAGAAACCAAAAATATCATCAATAAGGTTTTAAGCGAGCTCTAAATTGGAGTAAAATCAGAAATTTGCTTCGGTACAACTTTATACTTTAATCTTCACAGGATACTTACTTGCAGGTGTTACCTCTGTTTGTGGGTTTGTTTTCCATTTTCGCTGTCTAAATCTAGATTCTGCCGTTTTTCATTGAATTTTGCCTCGCTTTAGTTTTCTACTTTTCAGAAAAGGTTGTTGTCAACGATTGCATGTAGCTTTCAATCTCGAATAAACAACACAAACAACTTTTCCAGCAGTCGGTTATCGCCGTTTTTATTTCTTTGTTTATATACTTGTTTAGTTGCCCACATCACCTTCTTTTATTCAAGTTCACTTCAAAACCCTAGCATTGGTAATAAAAATGTTATTCACCGGCCTAGGTCGGTCAGTATTGGGAGAAACTGTGCCCTCGGTCTGAGTACCGGCCTCGGGCGGTACTCAAGCCCTCGGGCACAGTTTCTCACAATACAGACCTCCCAACCGGTGAATAACATATATTTATTATATGGCTGAGTCTGTTTTCGCCATGCGATTGGTCAATTTGCCGTCCGTAACTTGCTATTCGGACCAAAATTTTTAAAGAAAATGCTCATTTCGGAGCTCTAAATCTCTTTACCTCGCAAAAAAGGTTTAAATAGACTTATAAGACGCCTGTCAACCTTTAGGACTTGGATGTTGACTTTAGCCTTCAACATTTTAAACTATGTTTATTTGTGAACGACGGCGATGAAGAAACTAACTCGTAAACTTATCGAAGAGGATTCTAGTCAGTGTTTGAAAATTTTATCGTAGTACACAGTTAAGAAGAAGAAAATCGACTGGCAGAGATTCGAGATGTTTTGCCTAAGAGAAAAAAGTAATTCCTCGACAAATATGATAACAAACATACCTGCACCCGATCATCTTGACAAGCTTCTTTGCCATTTGCAGTGTTTTTTCAAAGACCAACGAAAGAAAGATAGACGCGAGTTCGAGCCAGACACTTATGTCCATTTGTCAAAAGGCTCTAGCGTCACATTAACGAGTGAATACTTACAGTGCTCTTAGTTTTGCCGAATAAACTTTATAATATGTCTGTAAATCCTGAGGACTGGGATGTTGACTTTGCCTTTCCAAATTTTAACCTAGCTTTGTTTTAATTAGAACGAAGCTGGTGTAGAAACTGAATCGTAACCTTACCGAGGAAGAGAATACTAGTCAGTGTTTGACAGTTTTAACACAGATCACAATTGAAGACGAGAATGAACTGGCAGAAAGAGAGGTTGTCATAACAAAAATTAACGAGCGAATCCTTCGACAATGACAACAAACTTACCTTGAAAAGCTTCTTTGCCTTTTACAGTTTTTTTTTCAGAAGGACAAACAGAGGAAAGATCGAAACGACTTCTAGACAGACAGTGTCCGGTTTCCAAAATACTTCAGCGTTACATTTAAGAGCTAAAACTTACAGTGCTCTTAGTTTTGACCGAATAAACTTTTTCAACATGGCGAATTTGTTTTTACTTTCTCGGAAAGCCTTTGTTATGTACCATTGTTTTCGTGTGCCAATAAAAACTTTCTTTTTTGACACCTGTCAAATGACTGTCAAATCGTGCGTCCTGCACTTGTTTCCGGTCCCCCAAACAGGAAGAAGCCACATAATAAACATCTTACTAGCCTCGTTTTTTCGGTCCGTACTGTAAATTACGGATTCTCGTTTTTTTCCATCGACTTATGGCCCACGCGCTTCGTGCTTGGGACATAAATGGCTATCTTTAAAACAGGGAACGGGGAATTGGGGAATCGGGGAATCGGGGAATCGGAGAACGGGGAACGGGGAATGGGGAATGGGGAATCGGGGAATCGGAGAATCGGGGAACGGGGAATCGGGGAACGGGGAAAGGGGAACGGGGAACGGGGAACGGGGAACGGGGAACGGGGAATCTTTAAAATAGGGAATCTTTAAAAGCGGGAATCTTTAAAACGGGGAATCTTTAAAATGGGGAATCTTTAAAAGCGGAAATCCTTTGTCGCTGGACTTTTTCCCCTCCGTCAATCGTCAACAGAGGTTTAGCGCTCGATTCGACTTGCATGTTTGGAGCGATGTTTTAAAGAATATTGGTGATAGTAAGACTTTTCTTTTCCTTACCAAAGCGATTGCAAGAACGATAGCGCTTCCAAAAACTGCCCGCTTATATTTTGAAGACATAATAGATTCTACATGAGTCAGTCAGGATTAAAAGAGCCCGGGTAAGTCTAGGCAACCCTTCTGTGCCTATTGTGTTCTTCCATATGAAAAGAAACGACTATCCACTTAATTATATATGGAGGAAGGCTCTTAATTAGTATGGAGGAACTTATTTTTACCTAGCTGTTTAGACACTGACACTGACTAGGCACTTAATTAGTATGGAGGAACGCACTTTTTCTCTAGGCTATAACAA